ACTACATGAAAATGAAAATTAATGAATACACTGTGTACAGTAATTTACCTGATAAGACAGACCTCAGAAAAATACTTTATGAGAGCTTTTATACTTTTATAAAGCTGTCTATAATGAAAATTAATTAACTAAGGATTTTTTTGCCCTGCCAGGGTGTGGCCGAGTTATCCGGAGTGCCGGGTTATCGAGAGCCGAGTTTTCGAGGTTCTACTGTATTAGATAAAGAATAAATCAGACATTAATAATAAATAAAAATCTGAATGTTAAGACAGTTTTAAAGAAAGATTTTTAATCAAATATTTTTCATATCTTATGTTTGTTAAAAGTGAGTATGGCTGAAAATCTGTACCTTCTGGGACAATAATGAAAGATCACTCTGGGTGTGAGATAGGAAAAGATTTTCATTTTTAGACTAGGGCTGGTACAAGGCAGACATTTATTAAGGAATGCAGTCCCAAACAGAGTGAATCTGGAATCAAACTCCCAAATCCTGTTTCTGTATAATTTTATAATATGTATATTTAGTTATATGAATATGTTCATCTATGTTTTTATTGCATCATTACAAATAAAGCCTTGTTCACATAGCCACATTACATAGTTACTGGAAATAGACATAAATCCATTGAAAGACCATAATTTAACATCTATTATCAAATGTTTTTGTTATTTGCCTTACACACCTCTGATGCATTGTTTTTGCCATCTAGCATTCTAAAACAACATTGTCTATCTCACAATATCATTGAAAAAAGTTCACAGCCAAAGTATAGCTAAAAATGTTTACTTTTAAATTAATTAAGCAATAAATACAAACTTATAAATTAGTTTTATTTTTAATTTGTCTAAAATTAGCATATTTTACGTTTCACAACTGTAATTATTCTGTGTAGCAATTTCATATTTTTAAATTTGTATCTATTTTTAAAATCAATGTTTTTTCTGACAATATGTATGATAGTATTATGAGGAGTTCGTCTAAATGAAGAATAAAGAATACTTGTAAAAATAATTTTATTTTTTTTTTTGTATTACACTAAAAATAATTACATCTCTAAATGTGATTATTAAAATAATGAACCTCAAAGAAAGTCTTCAACAATTAGGTTAAAGATTTTAAATTAAATTATTTGCCAAAAATTTTTATAAAAACTTTGAGGTTTAAATTTCAATTTTAAAAACACACTTTCATCACTGATATCAAAATAACAAACATTTTATTCAAAGTTAAAACATTTTTCAACTTAATAATTAATATTTTACTTACTTAATATTTGTAATTTGAGCTTGAATTTCTTCTAATTTTCTAGCTGTTGTTAAATACTCTTCATCATTCAAATCTTGGAGAGCCAATTTTTCTTTTGTTATACTTTTCCTAAAATAATAATTAAATTTTTTAAAAATATAACAACTGTAAAGTATTCAATAATTTATATGTAAAAATAATAATAAAGGTATTTTAATTTTTCTAATAACAACAATAAATAACAATTACACAATATGTTCTAAAAATATAGCTAACTAGCAGTTAAGCCAAGCATTGCCTAGGCAAAAAATAAAAACAATCATTAAGATTATTAACTTATTTCACATTTCAAACCCATCTATTATATTATATTCTAAAATTTGATTTATATAACTAAAAAGGTTATCTTATATCTTTATTAATCTTACGTAAAGGTGTTATATATATAACAAGCTGGGAAAGTAAAACACTGTTTTTATTTTTTAGTCAATAATAAATCCTGTAATCTGTTACAAAGCTATAAATTTATTAAACTGTCCCTTAATATAAATTTTCCAAATTTTATAAAATACTGTACTTCATAAAAAAATTTTGTCAATGTTAGACTGCAGGGAAAAAAGTCTTCTGTGTCCAGTGGTGCATTATAATATTATAATATTGTGTAACTAAAATTTTTAAGACCTAAAAAGCCATGGTCTTGAATACATGAAGTTTTCAAGGTGTAACAAGAAAAAGACGTTATGGGCATTGCAATTTAAGTATTTAAACATTAATCAATGAATGGCATCACAAAAATGTCATTGCCCATAATGGCAGAAAAAGTGAGAGATAGTGATTTAACATTGAAACAGTTTAGAAAAAATGACTAATTTAAAAATAGTGAGAATTGTGATTCATTCCAAGGTCTGATTATAATGAGTAGCTTGTACTCTTTTCAGGAAGATGGCCCTTCAAATCATATATGCCTTCCAAGCCAGACAAGTATGGAATAAAAAGTTTGGTGGCTTTATGATTCAAAGTACTTTACCCTTTGAAAGTCATACCATAGTGTATTTTGGAAAAGGAAGAACAGAACTATAAACCTTTCCAGTAATGTTGTCCTGGAGCTGACCAATTCTATTTAGTTCTCAACATTACTTTTATTAAACTTTCAACTTTTTACATCTTTGCATGCAATGATACCACTAATGCTTGTCATCTTTACATAAGAAATTATTTTTACTGGCATGGCAAAAAGTATATGGTGCAAACAAATCCATGCACATGGAAACCTTGCCTAAATTAACATTTCATTATTAAAATATTAAGAGTAATTTTATATATAATATTACTGTAATTGGTATTAAATTTCATGTCAACAATCTGTTTTTATTAAAATCTTAAGAAAAAAATATCCAATTACAAATTTTTGAAACCAGTTGCAAAGATTTGTACTAGTGACTTCAGGTATTTCAAGTATCCAAAATATCTTTGGTACCTGAGTTTGAAGATTTCTATCTCTAAAATTTATATATTGACTAGTGTTCAGCACTAATCAATAAACTAGCTTGTTACAAACAGTATTGTCCAGGTTTATAAGAGGAAAAATATCCAAATGTTAGATGTAGAGAACAAAATACTTATATAGTTTTCATAGTTTAACATTTTCAACTGGAAGTACTGTACACGAGTGTTATGCACTATCCAACACAATAATGATATAGTGTGTCTACTTGTCATTATATCATTGTCGCAGTAATCAATTAAATATATATATTTTAAATTATATCCTTTTTTTGTATAAATTATATTTAGTGTATTATTTTAAAAAATGTCAAGATGGCATTACATGTAAACCAGCAAGTTGGATTTAGGCTCAAATTAATTAATATATAGAAATTAAATTAATATTTGGGGGTGATATGTAAAACATTATCTAAGTTAGAAGTATGTTAATGTAATTGCCAAATTTCATAGCAATTGGTCAAATGGCCTAGGAGTGCATAGTAAACAAACAAGCACACAAACATCCTCATTTATATATGAATAGATATCATCACTGAAATACTGATAAATATCAGACTTTTATATTTGCAATTTCTTCTCCCACTGTCACCATCCTGCCCACTCCAAAATCTGATAAAGGAAACCAAATTTAAAATTTAATCATATATGCATATGCATTAAGTGCATTGTATTGATGAATATGATCAGGGTGAAATCACCTCCACCATCCTCTACCCCTTAAATATTTCAAATACTTAAAAAGTGCAGGATGGTAGAAGAAAGTTTTTTAAATACATTGTATAAAATATAGTCCATACTTTACTAAACTAAAACTAATAAACATAGAAACATCCAAAGTAAAAACTTACTTCATAAACAAAGGATCCAATAATTTTTCTTTAAAGTTTGAAGCAACTGCTTTTTCTAAACTTGTTCTTTCAATGTCAGTCCCTATGATTTCCATAATAAAATTTCATAAAAATTAACAGCACATTATTTATTACAAATTAAACTATAAAATATTTAATTTAAATGATTTACTATATAAAAATTTAAATTTTTACTTACAAGTTTTGTTAGGTATAACATAAGCTGTAATCTCTTTATTTTTAATTTTAATTTTAGCATCTTCATTCAGTGGTGGATACTATGAAAAATAAAGTAATACAGAAAAGTTACTTTTTTAATTGATATTTTCTATAAACATTTTTTAAAAATTGATATTAATGAGAAGCTTATGAAAAATAAACTTGGATGGCTCAGACATGTGGTTAGAAGAGATAAAGATGAATTAGTTAAAAATTCAAGTTATGAATTAGAAACTTAGGAACTAAAAGAAATAGAAGTAGATTGAAGAAAAGCTGGAAATTAGCAATTAGGAAAAATTTAAAGGCATTATGGTTAAACAAGAAGATACCTCAAAAAAGGATAGTTTGGAGGACTAGCATGTCAAATCCTAAAAATTTTTTGAGAGGAAAAAGGGATGGGAAATGATGATGATAACTTTATAAGACATTTTTATATCCTGCATGGATAATGTATTTCACTACTCCTATACAGTAAATTAAATTATATCATAGTATTTGAAAAAACTGCTAACTTCTTGCTTCAGAATATATAAATTAACAAGGTATCTCACAAATACTATAATTATTTTCATCATAATAAATATAAATCAGAGAAACATCAGAAAACTAATATAGAGAAAATTATATCTTTAGTAATCAAGTATCAGTAACTTTATTTCATGGAAAATTTTTATTGTCTTAACTTTTCCATATAAACTAACCAATAAGAAAAAAATTGTTTCAAAATAATTATACAGCATAATTTAATCATTAATTTAATCATATTAATGAATTCATTAATATGATTTGTTTATATTATTTTTATACCTTGAGACAATAAGTATATTAAAAATAAATATAAATCAGAGGAACATCAGAAAACTAATATAGAGAAAATTATATCTTTAGTAATCAAGTATCAGTAACTTTATTTCATGGAAAATTTTTATTGTCTTAACTTTTCCATATAAACTAACCAATAAGAAAAAAATTGTTTCAAAATAATTATACAGCATAATTTAATCATTAATTTAATCATATTAATGAATTCATTAATATGATTTGTTTATATTATTTTTATACCTTGAGACAATAAGTATATTAAAAATAAATATAAATCAGAGGAACATCAGAAAACTAATATAGAGAAAATTATATCTTTAGTAATCAAGTATCAGTAACTTTATTTCATGGAAAATTTTTATTGTCTTAACTTTTCCATATAAACTAACCAATAAGAAAAAAATTGTTTCAAAATAATTATACAGCATAATTTAATCNTGATTGGTTAACAAACATAATCCATTCCAAGACTTTGTTTGTTATCCGAATTGTTTGTTAACCGATTATTGATTTACCATAGGTTTCTATGGGAATTTGATTAATTCGTTCTGGAGACCCCCAAAAAAATAAAAAAATATATACTTTCTTACTATGTTTATTTACATGTAATAGTAAAAATACATATATATGCAATCTTGCATTTTTATTAGTCATGATTTTTCCGTTTGTGAAGGTTAAAGAATCTGTCCAATGTCGATTGCTTTTCTGTCTTCTTCATGATTTTTCAGAAGTAATTAATAGCATTATAATTGTAGAGATTCCTAAGCCAATTAACCTCAACCTGTTTTGGATGCCATTTTAAGACCGTTGTTCTGACATCCTCCCACTTCTTCAAAAGATGTTTAATAGCAGATATCGGCATAAATCCGCTTTTTCAGAAGAAAACATAAAAGAATTGTTTCTGTCAGAAATACAAAAGGCTGGAATTACAAGGGAGAGTTTCAAAGTTCGGGAGAATACTATCCAATCAGTATATACTGGGTTGAATGTTGATGTTGATGTCTCCCACGCTCCGAAAAGTTTCGAACTGTTGCCTGAAGACAAAGGAAGATCAATCACTATTCATTATTTTATGTCACTTCTTCTTCTGTTTGTTCAGCAAAGTGTTCATTATCCAAATGTGTTTGTTGTCCAATCATAAAAATCTTTCGCAAAAGTGTTCATTATCTGATTTGTTCATTAACCAATCCGTTCGTTAACTGATCACCCACTGTACTTAATTATCAAAAATTTTTCACATATTTTATTTATATATATAAATATTTCCATAAGAAAATTTGATAGCTAAAATAAAAATTTTAAATTATTTAATTCACATTATTTTTGAAGATTATCAGTAAAGATTATTTTATTATTTAAATTAGTAGATTTTCAATGCACAAACAATAATAAATATATTATATCATCAGAAGTATTTAAATACTTAAGTTATTTAGCATTTTTTGGAATCATACATGCATGTGTAATTTGAAGTTAAAGTGATATCCTGTATATGCTTAGAAATAGAAATATATTTGAAAACAATAAGATATTTGGAATTAAATTTACAATTTTTTATTTTGGACAGTAAGTAGATGTCACATTAGTAATCCTTCTGTATATGACATTACAAGTTGTTTTAATAATACAGTAGAGCCTCGAAAACTTGGCACTCGATAACCCGGCACTGCGGATAACTCGGCCACACCGTGGCAGGGCAAAAATAATCTTAGATAATTAATTTTCATCATAGACAGCTTTATGCCTTATAAAGTATTTCCTGAGGTCTGTCTTATCAGGTAAATTACTGTACACTATGTATTCATTAATTTTCATGTAGTAAAGGCTCTATGCCTTCATAAAGTATGTGCTTTTCCTTTGTTTAAGGGTATTTGGGCAGTTTATTCTCTGTTGTATTCTCAAGCAAACAATACATATAAGTACAGTACAATATTTTCTGAGGAAACATGCATACTTATACTTTTTTAACCTCATTCCCGATAACCTGGCATTTTCACAAACTCGGCCACCCTTCGGTCCACATTAGGCCGAGTTTTCGAGGCTCTACTGTATCCCAAAAATATTGATATCTGATGTAATTTGAAGATGAAAATTATTATTGCAAATTCAACAAAAAAGCCAAACAAATTTACAAATAGCACTACTATTATATCTTAGTGTCATATAACAATGTTCTGAAAACCTCTTTATTGAGATAAAAACATTTTACAGGAACAGTTATCATCTGTAAAAACTGCTTTGATCCTGAGAATGATTAATAATACAATATGATTTGATTATTGCAATCACTGTGGGACTCAACTATACTAATAATAATGACTGATAGAATTAAATGTAATAGGCAAATTAGATTATAACTAATAGAAATTCTAGTTTCATTGGCTGGCATTCAAAAGACATGTTGAAAGAAAAATTCATAACTAGAAGATTTAGTAATAATAATTATTAATGGTACTTCAACCAGAGTATAGCTGAAGTAACAAATACCAACAATTTAAACTACTAAACTACAGACAATTTAAACCACTACTGAGATGACCTTTCTTTAGAGATTAAAAATAGTAAACATAGTCTGGAAATAGATCATCTCTGCAGTGGAAGATTGTCATTCCTGGTGATTGGACATGGCAAAAGTAAAGACATTTTAGTCTTTTTACATATTTTTACTAATGTGTTAATTAATCAGCCAATTTTTAAAAAATAATAATAAACAATTGCTACAACTTTACAAGTATAAAAGGCATTTAAAAATAAACTTATTTAATAAAGCATGGGAAAAACTAAACATATGATAGTTGCTTAATTTATTCGCATTTCCATTGTAAGTCATTTAAAATTCTACTACAGTCTATCATACTTGTGGCAGTGTTGCCAAAAATCGGCTGAGACTCACTCAAATGCCTATGAAAAACTTATAAAAATATCATTATTTAATCACAAAGGAAAGCTAAACCTAAAATTTTGGCTTTTAATTAACAGGCACTAATGTTTAATGTCATAAATCTGTAGACAGGAAACGAGAAGTCGAGAATAAATTGTTTTGATAAGTAAAAAAGTTGCAACATTGACATAAAAATGGCTGAAAAGTTTCTTCAATAGTAGTCTAATTGATGAGAAATTGCAGAATCTGGCAATCTGACCCATATGAAATTATTCATATTGTGAAAGATAATTTGCTTATAGTTGGAGCTAGTGTCCTTGACTTCTCCTCAAATGAATATTTCCAATAGTCTGCTATAATATGGCATTTGAAACAAAGGAAATTTTACAAGAATATTTTGAAATTTGTTCATTATATACCATAATCAATCCCATATATTTGTATACTGTAGTGCTAGTTATTGTCAGTTGTTTGATATAGAGAAAATTTGTTATAATTTAGGAAAAATTCAGTATTAGGAAATTTCCTGCAACAATTAATATTTAGTGTTTAGAGCACTGGTTATGACTGATAGATACAGCTGGTAACAATTATCGTATTTCCTATATATAAGAGCATGTTCTTATACAAAGGTCATACTGAAAGTCACAAGCAACTAATTTTGGAAAAACAAATACAAATACATCACATTATTTTTCGACATAATCTCCATTTTTTTCGGTACATTTTCCCACCATTATGGGAACTTGAAAATGTCCTTTAAGATAAAACTTTGTTCCAGCACTACGAAAAAACTGATGCACTGCTTTCTTGATGTCTTCCACTGTTTCATAGTATTAGCTCTGCATGTTTTCCTTTACAGCACCAAAAAGATGATAATCTGAGGGTGCTAAATTGTGGCTGTAGGCAGGAGGAGGAAGAATTTCCCACTCCATTTTCCAAATTTCCTCCATGTGTAACAAGTACTGTGGGGGCTTGCACTGTCATACTGCAGGATGATTTTCTTCCCAGGACATTTATCACACAATGCACAACGGAGTTTGAGGTGTCATGACATACTAATCAGCATTAATGATTTGCCCAGGTTCAAGAAATTCCACCAGAATAACTCCATCTGCATCTCAGAAAATAAAGCTGAAAACTTTTCCAACTGATGGAACTGTCTTTGCCTTCTTTTTAGTTGGGAAATTGAGGTCATGCCATTCCATACTCTGCCATTTTGTTTCAGGAGCATAATGATGGAACTTGCTTTCATTACTCATCATAATACTCAGCAAAAAATCATCTTCATTTCCATATTTCTTAAGTGATGAATGTTTTTAAAGTTTGTTGTTGCCAGTTAATAAACAGGAAACCCAGTGGGAGCACACTTTCTGATATCTTAAACTATTGATCATCTCCTGAACTGCAGTGTGCCCTATTCCAAGATTTACTGTAATAGCTTCCACAGTTACACATTGGTCTTCTTTAATGATCTCATCCACTCTTTCTTTGTTGCATTCATTAGAGGCGGTTTGCAAATGGCTGCTATGAGGCTGATCCTTGACGCATGTGTTTCCATCTTTAAAATGTTTTACCCATCTTCTAACACTGCTGGTGCCTATGCACACATCTCAATATAAATTCTGAAGTCTCTGGTAAATTTCTGCAATGGATATTCCCTCTTTAATGAAAAATTCAATCACAGCACACTGACAAAACAAAACATCAGTCACAGCCATTTTGTATTGGCTATCTGTGATCATGTGGTGAAAGTTGGTCATGTCATGACTTGCTCATGGCACTGTCTATAGTCTATAGATTATAACAATATTCTTAGTTTTTCATAATTAATAAATTGTGATTTATAAAAAATTGTTGCTTATGACTTTCAGTATGACCTACATAGATGGAACAAAATCAGCACTAAACTCTGCAAAGTCCCTTAAAAAAACTATTTTTAAGAAACTTTTACAGTATTGAAAGAATTATTTTATTCTGGCTTTTTATTTTTAATAATGTTTTATCACAGAGCTTTTTTTAAAAACTCTTTCCACCCTGTTGGGCACTAAGATGGCCTCCATTAACAAGCCCATTATGGGTTCAGTCAGGCCCACAATGGGGCGGCCAGGTGGTGAGGATGAGGCCCAACATATCCAGATGGACCACCCCCGAAAAATTTCTGGGGATTTATTGACCCATCTGAATTCAAACCTGGGTCCCTCAGAGTGGTAGGCTGCCACCTTGACCCCGTTCGGCCATCTGACCTACAAAATATCACAGAGCTGTCACTGAATAGTTAGTGTATCAGTACATCTACAATTAATTTATATCAAAACAATAATGCATTGCTCTTATAAGTTGAAACAAGCTGACACACATAAGAGCATGCTCTTATATGCATGATATGCTCTTAGAAGTAAAGCAGGACTTGTGTTTCAAAAATTAAAAAATAAGATTTTCACATAAAATAAAATGCTGTTATTTGTGTGGAAATACAATATACAGAATTAACTATATATTGAGACCAACTTATGGAAAAACAACTTGAAAAATTCTTGTTTACCTGAAGGTAATGATAATTATACTTAAAACTCTGACTATAATAAATGAAATTATATATTTTACAATGTATTATTTCTGATAAAATTAAATAAAAGAATAAGTGACTTTTACTGTAATACATTTAAATTATAATAGTGATTTAAGAAACTTTAAATACCTGATGCTCTAAATTACTTTCCAAAATTGTTTCCAACTGTGAAATTTTATCCATTAATGCATTCTGATAACATTGATTCATTAAAAGGCACATCCTGAGATCATTATTGGGTTCTAGAGCCATAAAATTCAAATCATTCTAAATAAAGAAAAAAGTAAAATTAAATGATAATGTACAAAAGCTTTAACTTCTAATAATAATTAAAATCAAAGTACAGTAGAGCGTTGTTAATCCAAAAGCCGATTGACCGAAATGTTGGTTAACTGAAAGCGTTCCAGTCAGACTGTGTCGTGCTGAATCAAACGTTTTTGATAATAGATTAACTTCCAAAATATAATTTTTTTGTTTTAATATTTTTCAATATTAATTTTTAACAATACAATAACCACAGTTATTATTTTTAAAAATTTAAGTTCGGCTTAACATCAACAAAAATTCAACACAAAGCGACACGCAACAAAGAAAAATTTCAACATGGGATAGGTTAATATATTTTTTCATACATAATCGGTTATCCGAAAAATAAGTTATCCGAACAACTCCAGTCCCCAACTGATTCAGATAAGTGTTGCTCTACTATATATGTAAAATTACTAAATTTATGATTTTAAATTAAAAATTTTTAAAAACTTAATTCTATTTATTCATAATTAATCTCATTTTCATTGAATAATTAGTATTTTAATCTTAAAGTCCCTACTAAATTCTTAAAAAGTTTATCATTCTTTATTTAGAAATCCACTTATAAACTTCTTAAATAAACTATAGAAGTTCAGAAATATATTCTCACTTCAAAATAAATAAATATTTAATTAAACAGTTAAAGTTTTATCAAGTATTTTAAATATGACTTGTATTTATAACAAAATATCTTAAATTTATAGCTAATTAATGGTTAATGATCTAAAACCATTAATNGCCGCTATATTGAATACATGCCATATTGTTAGGAAATTCCTTAATACAGACACTGACACACACATTTAATTTTAGTTTTGTTTTGGTTGCTATGCCTTGACTCTGGTCCGGCATAGTACACAGCCACCGGTTTAAACCGAGTATTACCTACTAATCCCAACATAATAATAATTCCACGTCACGACAAGAATAGACGGCCGTTGTTTCGTCTTAAAATTCGGGATCTCCACAGGCTCACTATCCTTTAAGTTAACTTTCTAAAATCTAAGCTCCAACCGAGAGAGAGGGAAGTAAAAATTTTTCTAAGTCTTTACTCGGCAGCAGTGGCGATCAAGGACTGCAGTTTCCAAGTCGAGAGCAGTGGTTCGAATTGTCCAGGTTCAAGAGCTTCTCCACCCTAGTAAATTCTTAAAAAGTTTATCATTCTTTATTTAGAAATCCACTTATAAACTTCTTAAATAAACTATAGAAGTTCAGAAATATATTCTCACTTCAAAATAAATAAATATTTAATTAAACAGTTAAAGTTTTATCAAGTATTTTAAATATGACTTGTATTTATAACAAAATATCTTAAATTTATAGCTAATTAATGGTTAATGATCTAAAACCATTAATGGCTCACAAGATCTTAATATAAGTCCTTAACTAAATGATCAGATTTGCGATTATTAAAGTTACTGAAATAAGAATGCTAATGTGTTAAGTATTGTTGTTACATGAAAAAAGACCTTGAAAAGAGAAAGGATATTTTGTTTGAAATATATTTAAAAATTACTTCATTTATTTATATATTTTGTATAATTATTCTACTGATTAAATAAATTTAAAATATTTTAAAAATTAAAAAAATTTCACTCAAATACCAATACCAGTTTAATATTACTAATGTTTACTAATAAAAACATTTTTGTTTATTTTATTTAAATAGACAAAAGCATTCTAATATTAAACTAAGGTAGATCTTATATACAAATTGGCTAATTAATGAAAAACAGTTATTTACTAGCATAACATTTTTTAAATGTCATCATAATCTTACTTCTTATAAATTTTACTAGAAAAACTAATAAAAACAATATAAAATAATAAGGTCTGGATGCATAAATTACTACTGTTGTTAAGATAGCACTATCTATGATTAACAGTTTCTGAACTAAACTACATAAAACTTTTCATCAGACTGAAATCTGTTGACATCACCTATTAGCAACTTCTACTTCTAGTACTTTCATCCTTATCAAACTGAGCTCTCAGCTTCTTACTAAATTCTTATGGGTTTTAATTCTTGCCAAATTGACTGAAATTTTAGTTCTTGATTAACTCAATAGATACAAAGCTTGAATATGGCTAGATTTTTGCTAGAATCATTCAAATACATACAGGATGGTAACAAAAGTCTCTCCCCAGCCAATTACTTTAAAAATGAATATGGTAATCACTATAGACCCTTTGCTTATGTATATTACATCAGGCATGAACTAAACAATGTTGTGAATTCCCACTCCCTCCAGCCCTTCTATCAAAGAAGAATGCTATAATCTCAGGCCCTAATGAAATAGGGTAACATTGTCTATTACAAATTGTAGCATGTGAAAAAATACATACTATTACCTTTTAATGCATTCTGAAATATCAAGTGAGATTCCAGAACAGGCTGTCAAATATGACAGGTAAATTCTTCACTAAACAACACACTAGGGATGGTACATTGCTGTATAATGCAAATGAAATATAAGTATGGTTAAGTGTTCTAAAATTTAACTTAAATAATTTTGTTATGGTCAAAACTTATTATTCTAGAACAGTATTTCCCAACCTTTTTGGATTAGCGACACACTTTGAATTTAATAAGATTCCTGTGACACACCATAGTTCTTAAAATAAAAATGTTTCAAATTCAAAATAAATTATGAATGTCTAAAAATGTTTTATAATATGGAAGTTAAACTTACCCAGACAAAAACTCACAATTTTACAAGTATATTATTAAAAAAAATTAAAATAATATAATAATAATATTTGAATTAACGAATGAAGAGCTAGTATCAGTCTTTAAACTGGTAAGCTGCAAAGTTTATAGATATTTCAAAGAGTTGGTATGCTGATATATGCATTGATGCATGCAACTTTTACAACAATCAACATTTTAGCGAATACTTCCTTCTCCTTGGTTGAGGTAAAAAGATAAAAAAGAAATGAAATTTTAAAGAAGAACTTATTCATTTGTGGAAACTCTCTACCTTGGTATTCGCTCAGCAGAATGGTGCAAGTTCAGAAAAAACAAACATTTTCATCTTCTAAGACTTGCTTCAGGTTATAAATTTCAAATAGATGGAATGTCTAATACTTTGGTGTTTGAACATGTCACACACAGAAGAGTTTATACAAAAAATTCAAATTTAACATTTTCTAAAATTGACCAATACGATGCATCCAAGTGTAGAAGTTGTATAATGTGAGAGAACCAAGGGGGTAGAGCGCCGAGTGTCTCCCCACTTATCGGCTTCTTTGTCGGGGGATGGCTTGGGTAATTGAGCGGGAGGGATAGCGAGGTCGTGACAAGGTGTCAGATGTNCTATATTGAATACATGCCATATTGTTAGGAAATTCCTTAATACAGACACTGACACACACATTTAATTTTAGTTTTGTTTTGGTTGCTATGCCTTGACTCTGGTCCGGCATAGTACACAGCCACCGGTTTAAACCGAGTATTACCTACTAATCCCAACATAATAATAATTCCACGTCACGACAAGAATAGACGGCCGTTGTTTCGTCTTAAAATTCGGGATCTCCACAGGCTCACTATCCTTTAAGTTAACTTTCTAAAATCTAAGCTCCAACCGAGAGAGAGGGAAGTAAAAATTTTTCTAAGTCTTTACTCGGCAGCAGTGGCGATCAAGGACTGCAGTTTCCAAGTCGAGAGCAGTGGTTCGAATTGTCCAGGTTCAAGAGCTTCTCCACAGTGATCGCGTCAAGGTGTGGGTGCGATCCCTTTTTATACACATCCTGGAGGGAAATTTATCTGGCAAAAATCTGATGCAATCGCCTTTGCGTCGAAAGTTGTTTACTTAGAATCGAACGGTTCTTTACATTTATTACAGTTTCTACCCGTTACTGTGACACTTTCTCATCATAAATTTGACAACAGCTGTCAAACCCACTGAATTAATTACCTCAGGTGGCTAAGGTCAGAACATCGGTGAGCCATTGCCGATGTTCCACCAAACCACTGACAATGAAACAATCATCATCGGGTGATGACTGCCCCACCATTGGTAACCTGATATGGTTTTCCATCATATAGTCTACCCTTGTAGTTGATCTTTTTGCTCCCCTCAAGCATGTAACAGGTGGAGGTTCTTGTTAATTGGCTACTTATTTGTACATTGTAACGAAGGTGGAACTGAATAATCCTGTTGTGAGGGGAGAACTTCCAAAGACATTTAGGACGACAGATGAAGTCTAGAAGGTCACCTTTCGAAGTGACGCAGTATTCTGATGGGTCAAAAAATCTAACTTCAACTTCCAGGGGAAGGAGAAAACAAGAGAAAGAAGGAAAATAATGATAAAAAATAATTTTATAAATGTTTAAGCCTTTAAAACTCCCAAAAGAGTCCAAATCCTCACAAATGTGTTCACAATGACATATCAAATAGGGCTTATCATGCTTGTGAAATGTATCTCTTCTTTAAAATTTCATAACACTGTTCAATACATCATTGTGAAAACTGTTTTACAACTTCTACACTTGGATGCATCCCATTGATTGATTTTAAAAGGATTTTAAATTCAAATCTTTCGTATAAATTCTTCTATGTCTAACAAGTTCAAACACCAAAGCATCAAACATTCTGTGTACTTGAAATTTATGATCTGAAGCAGGTCTTAGAAGAAGACCGAAAACATTTGTTTTTTCTGAACTTACACCATTCTGCTGAGTGAATATCAAAGTAGGAAGTTTCCACAGTAAAATACTCCAGAAACAGACCACAGACCAATGACAGCGGTCTACTTTATAGAATCTATAAAGCCGTCATTGGTCTATCTCTATAGCCTATAATCAGACAAACAGTCAAAACAACAATAACAATTTTTGATACAGACAATATTACACAGACCACTGCAGGCTACCTCTCATGGCTTGCCAGTTGACATGTCAGTCACCCCTGCCTTAGATAATTGAGACTTTACTATATACACACATACTAATTATAGTAACTAACCTGTAGGATTGACAAATAATCCTTCTTTGATGTATTTCCAATTGGACCATCTAGAAATAATAAAAAAATAATAATTATTCATTAAAAGACTGATGATTGATATCTAATACACAACAAAACTTAGTTTTAATATTTATTCCAAAAAAATTTAATTTCTTTATTATAAATTGTTAAACAACATAGACTCTAAATATCTTTGAATATGAATAGAAATGTCCATTTCTATTTCTATTCAAATTCAAATATAGATATTTCTATTCAAATGAATAAACAGAAATAAAGACTACAAGCTCAATGTTGACATCTTATCAAATTTTATCTTCAAATTTTTCTTACTTGGAAGATTCTCTAACAAGTTCTAATGCTAAATTTAGTACAAAATAGATAATTACATCCAAAAAATTTTATTGAGTAGAAGATTGTATAGTTTAACAAGCATCAATCATTACAAGCAACTTAACATTCAAATGATTAACAACAAAAGACATTCCAAGATATCATAATCAGGGGTCGTACTACATACCACCAAAATCATCACTTGTCAATATTTTTATTAAAGTGGCAATAAAAATATAATACTGGCAATGAATCCCTATTGGCTTATATCAACATTCAGTGTAAAATTGAACCACAAAGCACACTTCAGGAAAAACAACAGAATATCTAGCTCCTGTGCAATGGGAGTCCTGGGTACCACACACTTAGTGATTTCATGATGTCGCACGGCAAGTTCAGGCAGAAAAGTAGGAAGTAACATTGAGAACAAAAGGCAGTTTTGTGCAATGCCACCCAACATTTCCAGATTGGAGATATTTTATCAACTGACAGAAAATTTTGGGAATTCTTTAGGGTGACTTTTTTCACTTTCATCTTTTTTCAGTAGACTCAGTAGACTAAAATTTTGACATGACAAAACATGTGAAATGTCATTTAAGCATAATAATCAAATGTGTTATTCGGAATTATTTATTAAAAAATTATTAAAAAATGATTCCTATTGCTAACAAGCAAATATTTATTGTGACATCGTCACATGCTGGGCTGCAATTTTTAATCATATTTTTAATTTATTTAATTTAAAATATATGCTTTCTACCTCAATTAGCCCCTGTACATCATACTTTTCCTCTTAGCAATAGAGTCATGCTATCATCTAACTCCTTTCAGGGGAAAATTTTTGAATTGAAACTGACTTCCAGTTTGAATCTGAAGTTCATATATAGTTACTCGGGGTCTTCTGCCTCCGAGGTTTCCATATTTGGTCTCCTCTTTCATCTACCTAACTTCATTCCCAAAATTAAGGAAAGACAGACAGAAGAGTGGACAGAAGATAGTGGAAATTTATAAGTCTACAACTTTTTCAAATTGCAGCCCAACTAGGAGAAGGCCAGACATTCATGTTTCCGATTCGAGGGAAACTTGACGAACATGTAGTCCTAAACACAAACAGCTCGTTGTTCAAATAATAGGATCCAATTCTCAAGCAGTTCCAAACCTTGGGCCTCTGAAAAATTTAGTGTTTAGCTTATAAGTCTTTAAAAGTTTCATGTCCCTGAGTGACTAAGATGCTAGGCATTGGACTTACAGGGTGTAGGTACAAATCATTAGCATTATAATTACTATTATCATTGCTCACATTTAAAACTTATAAAACAAGAGATTAAAATTATGATGTCATATCCTGTTTAGCAAAAACAAGTCTCTGTAGATTTAACTCTTTTACTTATTAAATAAAATTTTTGTTTCTTCACATTTATTTTCAGATATTTTCACTCGTGATTACATACTATGTCCTCACAAGTGAATAAGCTTCAGATTTACTGCACATGGACAAAAAAGACAATATGAAAATAGGGTAGCATAGTCGCAACATTTTATTTTTTTAATTCTTAATATTATGGACAATTTCGTTGATCTTTTTGCTCCCCTCAAGCATGTAACAGGTGGAGGTTCTTGTTAATTGGCTACTTATTTGTACATTGTAACGAAGGTGGAACTGAATAATCCTGTTGTGAGGGGAGAACTTCCAAAGACATTTAGGACGACAGATGAAGTCTAGAAGGTCACCTTTCGAAGTGACGCAGTATTCTGATGGGTCAAAAAATCTAACTTCAACTTCCAGGGGAAGGAGAAAACAAGAGAAAGAAGGAAAATAATGATAAAAAATAATTTTATAAATGTTTAAGCCTTTAAAACTCCCAAAAGAGTCCAAATCCTCACAAATGTGTTCACAATGACATATCAAATAGAGCTTATCATGCTTGTGAAATGTATCTCTTCTTTAAAATTTCATAACACTGTTCAATACATCATTGTGAAAACTGTTTTACAACTTCTACACTTGGATGCATCCCATTGATTGATTTTAAAAGGATTTTAAATTCAAATCTTTCGTATAAATTCTTCTATGTCTAACAAGTTCAAACACCAAAGCATCAAACATTCTGTGTACTTGAAATTTATGATCTGAAGCAGGTCTTAGAAGAAGACCGAAAACATTTGTTTTTTCTGAACTTACACCATTCTGCTGAGTGAATATCAAAGTAGGAAGTTTCCACAGTAAAATACTCCAGAAACAGACCACAGACCAATGACAGCGGTCTACTTTATAGAATCTATAAAGCCGTCATTGGTCTATCTCTATAGCCTATAATCAGACAAACAGTCAAAACAACAATAACAATTTTTGATACAGACAATATTACACAGACCACTGCAGGCTACCTCTCATGGCTTGCCAGTTGACATGTCAGTCACCCCTGCCTTAGATAATTGAGACTTTACTATATACACACATACTAATTATAGTAACTAACCTGTAGGATTGACAAATAATCCTTCTTTGATGTATTTCCAATTGGACCATCTAGAAATAATAAAAAAATAATAATTATTCATTAAAAGACTGATGATTGATATCTAATACACAACAAAACTTAGTTTTAATATTTATTCCAAAAAAATTTAATTTCTTTATTATAAATTGTTAAACAACATAGACTCTAAATATCTTTGAATATGAATAGAAATGTCCATTTCTATTTCTATTCAAATTCAAATATAGATATTTCTATTCAAATGAATAAACAGAAATAAAGACTACAAGCTCAATGTTGACATCTTATCAAATTTTATCTTCAAATTTTTCTTACTTGGAAGATTCTCTAACAAGTTCTAATGCTAAATTTAGTACAAAATAGATAATTACATCCAAAAAATTTTATTGAGTAGAAGATTGTATAGTTTAACAAGCATCAATCATTACAAGCAACTTAACATTCAAATGATTAACAACAAAAGACATTCCAAGATATCATAATCAGGGGTCGTACTACATACCACCAAAATCATCACTTGTCAATATTTTTATTAAAGTGGCAATAAAAATATAATACTGGCAATGAATCCCTATTGGCTTATATCAACATTCAGTGTAAAATTGAACCACAAAGCACACTTCAGGAAAAACAACAGAATATCTAGCTCCTGTGCAATGGGAGTCCTGGGTACCACACACTTAGTGATTTCATGATGTCGCACGGCAAGTTCAGGCAGAAAAGTAGGAAGTAACATTGAGAACAAAAGGCAGTTTTGTGCAATGCCACCCAACATTTCCAGATTGGAGATATTTTATCAACTGACAGAAAATTTTGGGAATTCTTTAGGGTGACTTTTTTCACTTTCATCTTTTTTCAGTAGACTCAGTAGACTAAAATTTTGACATGACAAAACATGTGAAATGTCATTTAAGCATAATAATCAAATGTGTTATTCGGAATTATTTATTAAAAAATTATTAAAAAATGATTCCTATTGCTAACAAGCAAATATTTATTGTGACATCGTCACATGCTGGGCTGCAATTTTTAATCATATTTTTAATTTATTTAATTTAAAATATATGCTTTCTACCTCAATTAGCCCCTGTACATCATACTTTTCCTCTTAGCAATAGAGTCATGCTATCATCTAACTCCTTTCAGGGGAAAATTTTTGAATTGAAACTGACTTCCAGTTTGAATCTGAAGTTCATATATAGTTACTCGGGGTCTTCTGCCTCCGAGGTTTCCATATTTGGTCTCCTCTTTCATCTACCTAACTTCATTCCCAAAATTAAGGAAAGACAGACAGAAGAGTGGACAGAAGATAGTGGAAATTTATAAGTCTACAACTTTTTCAAATTGCAGCCCAACTAGGAGAAGGCCAGACATTCATGTTTCCGATTCGAGGGAAACTTGACGAACATGTAGTCCTAAACACAAACAGCTCGTTGTTCAAATAATAGGATCCAATTCTCAAGCAGTTCCAAACCTTGGGCCTCTGAAAAATTTAGTGTTTAGCTTATAAGTCTTTAAAAGTTTCATGTCCCTGAGTGACTAAGATGCTAGGCATTGGACTTACAGGGTGTAGGTACAAATCATTAGCATTATAATTACTATTATCATTGCTCACATTTAAAACTTATAAAACAAGAGATTAAAATTATGATGTCATATCCTGTTTAGCAAAAACAAGTCTCTGTAGATTTAACTCTTTTACTTATTAAATAAAATTTTTGTTTCTTCACATTTATTTTCAGATATTTTCACTCGTGATTACATACTATGTCCTCACAAGTGAATAAGCTTCAGATTTACTGCACATGGACAAAAAAGACAATATGAAAATAGGGTAGCATAGTCGCAACATTTTATTTTTTTAATTCTTAATATTATGGACAATTTCCTCATGCGATCATGTTTGTTACACTTCAAATATCACAATACAACAATATCTGAAAATAAATATAAAAAAATAAAAATTTTATTTAATAATGTAAAAAGATTATATCTATAGAGACTTGTTTTTGCTATACAGAAAATGACATCACAATTTTAATCTCATGTTTTATAAGCTTTAAATGTGAGCAATAATAATAATAATAATAATGACTCTCCCGTGGTCACCACCTGGTCGTGGTGGGAGAGCCCAGTAATTTTACTGAACCATAGGGCAATGCAGGCTGGAGCACAAGCTCCTGGTAGAGACACCCATGCCAGTAAGGTCTATGGGGAGAAATGAAGCTAAGAGTGACCACACACCCACATGTGGAGATAATTATCATGGTAGTAACCAGATCTAAGAATGATACCGGCTCGGACGTCGCCCGGGTTAACAAGGTCTGCGTTCGTGGGTTAGGCAGAGGCTCACATTCGAAAAATAGGCTCCAGTCTCCCTTGGTTACCAGTGGCGAAAGCAGCACTGGCCCAAGTATGGCTACTGCAATGCCCTCAACAGATGTGAGGAATAAACCTAGCCTTGGTGTTTCTGTGGCAATGCATCCACAGACCACAAAGCCTGGAAAACCATGCCAACGGATGAAATGGACATCAGAAATGAACGAGTTTATCATCCGCACTTACTATGCAATCACAAAACTTAAAACAAACATGACAGCATACAGACAACAACTACACCATAGATTCACACAACAATATCCTCACCTCACTGTCACAGAACAAAGGGTTGTTGATCAAAAGAGAACAATTATACACAACAACCTTATTCCACAAACAACACTTGAACTTATCAAACAACAGGTTGCTGATCAAATACATCAACAGACAGAAACATTTAACATTAATGAAGATCACGTAACCTGTCAGGATAATCCAGCA